TCTTGTACCATAATGCAGCCGCACGAAAATGCAATCTGCGGCCCTCATCTTTTTCCTCTCTGTTCTGAACTGGGGTGTCTTCCCCACTGTCCTTCCTGTCTCTGGGAATGTTCCAACAAGGATAGGGACATGCTGCTAGATAGCCATTCTGTCAATACCAGTTCCTTCTCGGACGACGAATAATTCTCAATGATAAGATACTTTTGCTTCCCTCCTCCAGTTGTTAAAGAAAATTCCGATGACGACGGCACACTCCCATATTCCTAAAGCATGATGGTATGTTGATCACGCGCGGTTCATCAACTCCTCCAGGACACGCCAAAGAGGGGACTCTTCTTCTTCTTCTTCCTATTACAATTTCAAAAGGTTTCTCCCATCCTCCTCTTTTTTTCGTAATTTTTTTTGTCAATTTCTGAAAGAACTCAGACTTTTAGCATATAAATCGAAATCTCCGAACAACCTTCAAAATCAGCAACTTCACTGAAGGTGTTCAGGGAACTTATAAACTAACCCTCCAAACTCCCCCCCCCCCCCCCATGGTCTATGTCTTTTTTCGTAATTAATATGGAAGAATGTAGACTTCGACTTGGACAGTGGAGAGCGGACCCGGATGAAAACTTGACATATCATTTTACCAACTTTTGCGCCGATATTTTTGAATTCGCGAGACTGTCTAAAACTCCAAACAGTACCGAATGGGATCTCCTCCTCGCCAAACAGCCAAAAAAGTACTACTACTGTTTTCAAGATGCCAATTTCCTTTTTCTCCTTCGAAATCCCATTGGCATTTTCCAGCTTTGAAGTTTGAACGATGTATTATGTCAATTGACACGTCAATTTCAGAGAGTCAAAACTCAAAAGTGCTTCGGAACACACGGATTGGTGGCACGAGAGAGAGAGGAGGAAGCATTTTACAAAAAATTAGATAAATATGCTATCGCTGGCAGACTATTCGATGTTCGAATCGAAATTCATTTAGTGAAAATTGATTTGGATTTGATTCGTCAATTAGTCAAAATAAACTTGAACGAGAGTTTACATTCGATAAAATTTTTCAGCACTATTCGAGCACGATTCAATTAGTATAAAATTAGGTTTATATGTAAAAATTTTAAGTTACTTGAGTTCGATTCAAGTTGGGCTCAATCAAAAGTTCATTCAAATTTGGTTACAAGCCAAGATTAAATAAATTTCCAGATTGGTTAAAATAATCTGCCAGATTTAGACACGAGTGAGACGGTATAGCATGCGTTCTATACCTGTATTTTGCACAAGACGGTCCCACCAATGTTTAACTATTTGACTCTTCGTAAATTCACCGGCTTGAATACGGTACCACTAGCACCAGTGTCCGTAGTATAAAAGGTCGTGGACGCAGATTAACCGGTTTTAACCCTTGGCCGGAACAATTTTCCGTCAAAATCTGGAATATTACTACTACTTAACAAATCTTTAATCGCAAATTAGTTTTTCCAGGCAGACAATAATATATGCACACGAACTTTCTCACTTTTTTTGCATTTATTTATTTTCACGTACTATACAGATTTACTATTCATTTTCTAAATTCCAGAGGTCGATTAAAAATGTACGTGACCGCATGAAGGGTGGTACGCATCAATCATCTACGGTTTTCTGATAGTAAACGGAAAGCAGATGAGTCGTTTTATCGGTCTATGAAAATGCATAAACAAGACCGAATATGGCCACACGGATAGGTTGCGGACCATTGAAAGATGGGGGAGGAAGCTGGCCGAAGATTATTTGTTTGACCCTTAATTATTAGTATACTGCTACCATCATGTTTGAAACTTTGAAGAGGAGGAAAAACAAGTACTCTACTCGAGCGCAGCGCAGTCCAAGAAAAGACAGAGCATTAGCCGCGTTGCAATTGTTTCTCCACTGAAGTCCAGAAAATCTCTAGAATTGAAAAAGATTCCCGAAGAACAGAAATGTTTACCGCGTACTACTTGCCAATCCAAAATTTAAGGGAAGAAAAAAAAAAAAGCTTGAAAAGACCTTCATATTCATGAATGGGGTCAACCTGCAAGGCCAAAAAGCTTCCAGTACCAATAATCTTCTTATTAGCCAACTCCGGCGCCAACTAATGCTGTCGGGGTGTGGATTGTTGGATCCTTAATCTAACATTATATGTGAGGGTTTGTTTGGATTGTGAATTATTAGAGATATTTTTACTGTAGTATTTTTTGTGATGTGATGTATGTGAGATAAAAAGGTAATTGGAAAGATAAAAAGTTGTGTTGGAAATTGTAATGATGATGTAAGCAAATATATTTTAACAAATAAATCGCAATCTTGCAAGCTATCAATTAAAATGATCAAATATAGTTTAGGTTTAATGTATCTAATAAGGTGTGGGCCTTTAATGTGTAGAGACTTATGGGCTCCTATTTCTATGATGGATTGAAATAGGGTTAAAAAAGGTAACAGGAATGTTACTTATAAATAGGGTTATGGTCCTTAGGTCGCAAATATTATTCTAGTTGTCGTATTTTCTAGTATCACAAAATAGCTCTTCCTTAATATCCCATCGTCATGAAAGATATCAGAGAGAAACTAAAGGATTCTCTCAAAGGATTGGTAAATACGTGTTGACCTGGAAGGTCATCCCAATATCTTTGGAGATTCATATATCAATTTGTCGATATGAATCCAGGTACGCTTCCGCTATTTTATCGTTAATTTATTTTTTAATAATCGTCATATAAATCTTGAATGTAACAAATGATAGTTTTCACCGATGATTAAATTTAGATAATCACCCTAACACGGACGCCCTTAATTAATTATAAATAATGTTTAAACTGATACTAATAATTACCAGTATTTGGGTAGTGTACTGGTAAAACGTTGGACTTGTAGCAGGAGCGGTAGTAGTAGACTAGGAGTAGTAGGTATCACATATGAATAGCGAGAAAATGACGGCACTACCCAGCTCGGTGGTGGTGGTATGAAAAAGTCAGCGTTCTCGAAAGCAATAATACTAATAGGGAGAGTTCATTGGCCTCCCCGTCAACGTCAAATTCGGATTGTCTCGGCACACAAAACTACAAACATGAGAAGCTTCAGCTGAGTTTAAACAGGAGTAGTAGTAGTAGGTATAGTAGCAGCAGTATTTAGTCCATTAGGCAAAATGTGCGTGCGTCGCGTTTGGGATGAGAATATTTCAATTCCAGAAAGGACAGCTAATGCTGGGATCTCCGGGACACGCAATACACGATGTGGTGTTCTAAATAATCTTCCAGAGGAGGAGGAGCAGGCACATATATGATAACCTTGAAATTGAACGATTTTTCAGAAAAACTCTCTCGACGCATTTCTTAATCATGTTACTACCTTTTCTACGTTACAGTAGTATTATAGTAAGTAACTTTTTTTTTTTTTTTTGACAGAAACTCCAAAAAAAAACTTGCTAGAATAATCGATCAGAAATCCTAGAGATCTCATATTTGGGCAGACCCGATCCTAAAACATTCAATGATGGGTCAAATTGTACCGCATCATCAATTCATCATCATCTCAACAAGTACAGGACACCGCAAGAAAAGAAGATGGATCGTTGGGTCTTTAAACATCGAACGAATCTGCCCGAGTTTTTACCTTTGAAAAATTGCCCAAACTTATCCAACAAGTAGTCGTGGAGTGCGACAGGCATTTCATCCTGATTTCTCCTTCCTGACATCAACACGTGACGTGATTGCGTTGCAAAAATAGGAACGAGATACTCTGCTGCTAAGGTACGACACGTACTTGTAGCTTAATTAATTTGTACAGTTGCCCTATTTAAATCCGATTCTTTTTCCTTTTCCTAGCTCTGTTGAATTATTAAGGAACAATCAATAGCGCTTTTTTTTTTTTTTTTTTTTAAACTCATAATTTTGTCAATAATCTTAGGTTCAATTGAATGGCTTCCCATCTCTTTAAAACGATGCGTTTTGAAACTGAAAAGCTGATGGAGGTAGCAGATGTTTTGGTAAAACGACATTAACGCACTAGAATTGATATTTCACACAAATAAGGAGAAAAAAAAAACACGAAATTAACAACTGTTATGATCATGAATCAGAGGCTTGTACTTGGATCCAAAACTAGCTTCAAAACTCACTATTCCATGTATTTGGAATTAAAAGCCCTTTATATCCACTTGAGATCCTCGGTGACATGTTTTCTATGCCAACCCAATGCCACCAATGATATTGCGCCAAATGTCATGTTATTATTTACACTTGTGTTAAACCAAACTAAATTAAATTATTAGAAAATTAAAGTGTAAATAATAACATGACACTTGGCACAATACTATTGGTGGCATTGGGTTGGCATAGAAAACATGTCACTGAGGATCCCAAGTGCTTTACATCTTTCCATGTATTTGGAGTAAAAACTAAATACCAATTACTAGTTTGGATCCGGAATGTTTGGATGAGAATGTTTTTCAAAAACTAGTTTTTTTGCTTAAAAGTCACTGTTTTTCAATAACAATTCCTGTCTGGATGGGAATATTTTTCAAATACAATAAAAATTTTTTAAAAATTAATTTTTAAAAATTAGTTTAAAAATTTTTAAAAAAAAACTCAAAACATATTCTAAAAATTTTTCTACTCTTAAATATCCCAACATATTTTCTGAAAATATCTTAAAATATAATCTAAAAATTCTCCTATAATAAAATTTTTCAAAAACACTTCAAATACAGATAATTCAAATAGAGTCCTGTGGGTTTTGCTGGCCTTTGGAGGAGGGGGGGGGGAGAGGGGAAGCGTGGTCCCCTTTCTTAATAATAGACGGCAATTAATTATCACACAGGATTGCGAAATGACTGCTAAAGGCCTCATTCTCATTTGTTTAAGGTGGGAACATTAATTAGAGGAGGCTGCGCCAAATTATTAATCTGACAACTATTAAAATCCAATCCAACCCAACCCAACCCAACCCCGCCTCTAAGTAATAATTATCCCAACCCAACCGCTGTTACCGCACAACGATTCCATCCTACTAACCGTGTGGAGATAAAGTGCCTCTCTTCCTTCCATCCTTCCCAATCGAGGAAAGGAAGGGAAGAAGGAACCATCTCACTTTGTTCTTCATTCGTCTTCTCGTTCCACTTTCGGGCCTACGCTATTAGTAGTAGTATTACCGTCTCCAATTCACACGTCACTCGCCCCTGTGCTCTTCCTTCCTTCCTTCCTTCCTTCTTCTTTCCCTCCTTTGCATTTATAGCAAGTAGTACGTACCAGCATCTCTCTCTCAGAGCCATAACTGTCCAAAGTTCAATCAAATTACATGCAGTTCTCAAGCCTGTATCCTGTCCATTTGACAACATGCCTCCTCATCTTCATTCTCAACTTGTTCTCATTCACATTTTCCGATCCTCGAATCGGTGAATCCGGCCTCTTCTGCGGCCTGAACAGACCGCCTCCGAACACCAGCTACATCCCACTTTTCGTCAAAGAAATGGAAAAAATTTCAGCCCTCGTCACCGACAACAACTGGGGCCATTATGCAATGAACCAAACTCGCATATCCATCTATGCCTTGGCCCAATGCTACCAAGATCTTTCTCACACTGATTGCCTCCTCTGCTACGCTGCGAGCAGAACCAGGCTCCCTCGTTGCCTCCCCGCTGTATCAGCTCGTATATATCTCGACGGATGCTTCCTGCGCTATGATGATTATAATTTCTTCAACGAGAGCACTGATCCCATTAGAGATACCTTCAACTGTAGCAGCTCAGCCGGGGTGGCCACTGCTGAAGAAGCGGCGAGTTTTGGGAAGAGAGTTAGGGAATTGGTTGATAATGTTAGCACAGCAGCTGCGATGGGTGGCGGGTATGCAGTGAGGGATCTGAATGGAGTGTACGGTCTGGCGCAGTGTTGGAAGACTTTGAGCAAACAAGGTTGTAAAGAATGTTTGGCCAAGGCAAGCAGAAATGTGAAAGGATGTTTGCCTAGCAGGGAAGGCAGGGGATTGAATGCTGGGTGTTACTTGAGGTACTCCACCCAGAAATTCTACACCGATCGGCCTCAGAATGGCGGCAGCAGTTCCGGTAAGTGTATGAATGTTTTATTAATCGCACATAACATGAGAGCACTACCATCCATTCAAGACTGGGTGAGGAAGAAAGAATTGAACTTGAATTTGATGAGTTTCATTTGTAATTTCAATTCGCTGCTTAAGTTTTCATTTTGATTCAGTGCTGATATATATGTTCCATTTCTGTTTCATGAAACGCTTATCCCTTTTCCCCTCCAACATTTTCGAGTCTAACAAGTTATTAGGTTTATTTTTATTTTCTGTGGTTTCACAAGCTATTCATCTTTATTTTTGTTTACAAGTTAGTCAAAGCTGTTCAATATTATTATTATATCATATTTATATATTTCCAGCATACTTTTATCATCTTCTGGACGTTGAAGTTTCCTCCCTCGTCAATATCTTGGTTGATTGATTGATTGATATGTGTCGTCGTGACAGTCGTTTTTTCTTTAACTTGTCAAACAATTTATTTATGTTAGTGGTAGTCGTTTTTTTTTTTTTTTAATTCTTTGATTTGGAGCCGGTGGCCGCCTACCATTTTTATATTTATCCATTTATTTACTTGTTTATTTTGAACTTTCTTCGTTGTAACCATCGCGTCGTTTTCAGGAGCCTCAAAAACTGGAAAAACAGTGGCCATAGCTTCGTCTGTCACGGCCTTCTGTATGATCTCTGCTTTTGCAGCTTACGCATTATACGCAAGATTCAAGAAAACCAAGCAAGGTACTACTCTATAAAAGATTGATTGATGACCAAAAGCAGTGTGGTAACTTCTTGTGAATTGCATCGTAGTGTAGCTCAGTAATAACAAAACGTTATTGGTGCAGAGCGGAGAAATCTAGGCCGAATCTCCAGCACATATAACAAGTCCAATTTGAACTTCAAATATGAGACTTTGGAGAGAGCCACAAATTATTTTGATCCCAAGACTAAAATAGGCCAAGGAGGAGCCGGTTCCGTGCATAGAGGAACTCTCCCTGATGGAAAAGTTATTGCTGTCAAGAGACTATTCTTCAATACCAGGCAATGGGTGGATGAATTTTTCAATGAGGTGAACTTGATTAGTGGGATTCAACACAAGAACCTCGTGAAGCTGTTGGGTTGCAGCATTGAAGGCCCTGAGAGCCTGTTGGTTTACGAGTTTGTCCCAAACATGAGCCTTGATCAGTACCTCTTTGGTAATAATATATAATGATTGATGACATTAAATTGTTGCTGCCACGCTATAAGTCTACAAGAGCTTAAAGGGGGCTGACTTTTCACATTCCTTTTTTTTTTTGTGGCAGATAATAAGGAAGTTAAGGTGGTTCTAAGTTGGAAGGAGCGGTTTCAAATTATAGCGGGAATAGCAGATGGGATTGCATTTCTTCATGGAGGGGCAGAGATCAGAATAGTCCACAGAGACATCAAGGGCAGCAACGTGCTTCTTGATGAGAATCTTACTCCAAAAATTGCCGACTTCGGATTGGCTAGGCATTTTGCTGACGATAAAACTCACCTTAGTACAGGAATTGCAGGGACATTGTAAGACAAAAATATTATTGAAATTGAAAAAAAAAAAAAATTCTGGAGAGTAATGCTTGATGTTCGGCTTTGCAGAGGATATATGGCTCCTGAATACCTAGTCAAGGGACAGCTGACAGAGAAGGCGGATGTGTATAGTTTCGGGGTCTTGGTTCTGGAGATTGTCTGCGGTAGGAAGAATAACGCCTTTGTGGAAGAGTCTGTATCTCTTTTGCAGACGGTAAGTAAGATCATTTTATTATTTTTGTAACCGCAGCCAAAGGCTTCAAATTTGGAGATGATAATGCAACAGGAATTTTGTCTTCTGACCACAAATTTGTTCGTTCGGATCAGGTCTGGCAGTTTTACAAATCGGATAAACTTGCGGAAAAAGTGGACCCTTCTCTCGAGGGTGAGTTTCCAGCGATTGAGGCATCGAACGTGCTTAAGATCGGGCTTCTATGCACCCAAGCTTCTGCATCTTCAAGGCCATCAATGGATGAAGTCGTTGAGATGCTTACAGATTCTAATGGTCAAGTTCCCGAACCGAATCAACCGCCGTTTATAAACTCCAGCGTGCTGGCTCCCAGTTCTACGGGGTCTTACAGCAGCACGAGCAGCTTGCTTCGAAATGCATTCAACAAATTCGAGGCATCTTACACGTCTACGGAGTCATCCAGCTTGCAGGGTTCCAGAAGTCACGAGCTGCGGGATTAGCGGTCCCCTTGGATTTCATTGCTTGCTCCTGTAAAAATTCTGGTGCTTGTGTGGCCTCTGTAAAAAAGCGTTAACTTAATCCCCGGTGTGAAAATTTTGAAGTATCCTATTCCTAGGACACAAAACACAACCAACGGTAGGAATTTTGTAACATCTTTTCTAATTCTTCTTCTTTTGGAGAGACAAAGGTATATTAATTATTTGGTAGGGGTCATATGTATCTGTAAAAAAGCTAAGAAGATTTCCAGAAACCGTGGAGCCGTTACTGGTATGAAAGCAGAGGGCTGGCGGACAACATTCAACAAAAGGCAGCAGCAGGCAGTTATGATTATGACAGTGATCCAGCAGCGATTGCGCTAATGGCTCCTTTTCACCATCAGCCAGCAGCCACCCAAAGAGGGAGTGGGGACTGCTGCTGGCCGCTACTTCTAAACACCTTTCCTCCTGTTTTTCTCGTAAAAGCAAAAATTGTTCTCAAATCAACACCGACAGGGATTAGCTGAATTTGGCGGTTGCTTCGGACACCCCCCCCCCCATGGGGCATGCCCTAGATATCATATCATATTATATTTTCTGTCAATTGGACGGCGCCGATTTCCGGCCGGAAGAAACTTTTTAGAGAATCAGAGATTTCAGGTGATGTTAAATATCTATTATAACTCAACTCCAACCAACCTGCTGCTTGTATGCGTGAATCATGAATGAGGTTGGGACCGTCTGTGCCCCCCTTCGTGTTAACTCGTGGATATGTCATAGGACCCCCCTTTCCTTTCGTGTTGGATGAATGGCAAGGCCACAACACAAGCACAAACACAAAATCAAAAGCAGTAGACACCCCAACCACGTGGAATTCAATGGCGGATCGCTCCTGTTGCTTTCAATCAGCTCACCAGCAACTCTCTTACTTATTGTCTCTGCACTTTCTTCTTAATCAGCACACTCACTCGAGTACGTACAAACCCAGACCTTTGAGGTACTGATGCATACGGAGAAAAACTGAAGACAACTCATCAAACTCCCGGGAGATCTTTTACTTTCTGTAATTTCTTCAACTTATTATTACAGCACAAGTGTCCTCAACTCGTAATGATAACTTAGTGCATGTTTGATAACATAAAAAAGTGCTGAAACTGAATTCATTCAGACATTCAGATGTTGTGGGTGTTTGATAAATAAAAATTCACTTGCTGAACTTATTAAGTGGTGCTGAATTTATATGTATTTTTTTCAGTACAAGAATCGTAGCTGAATGCTTAATTTGATAAGAGTCAAGAGATTTACTTCAACTATTTTATCTTATCTACCAAATATATCCCTGTTTGTTAATTACATTCAAAATCCTTATTTAATTAAACAACCTAATATTCCCCATTCAAAATCCTTATCTAATTAAACAAAACAACCTGATATTCTCTATTCAAAATTCTTTTTAACAATAACATTTTTTTGCAGTAATTTTCATCCACAAACATTTATATTTTGATTTTTTTTGTGCAGATATATATTATTTATGTGATGCAACTTATCCACACACACGTGGCTTTATGACACCATATCAAAATATTAGATATTGGTTGTCTGATTTTCGAAATGCTTCTCGTCCAAGATCAAAAGAAGAACGCTTTAACCAAGTACATGCAAGATTGAGAAATGTAATTGAACGTGCTTTTGGAGTATTAAAAGCTCGTTTTTCCATTCTCAAAACGATGAAACCATACCCTTTTCCCACACAAAAAAATATTTATGCATTGCTCTTCACAATCATTGTCATTTTCGTACCTAACAATTTTAAGTTAATTAAACCATAGGTTCTATTTTCTTTTTGGATTAAAAGATAGAAGGGCAAAATTGTACAATTTAGCTTATTAAGCATTAAGTTATGAATATTTATCAAACAGTATAAATAGATTCAGCATTAAGATTCAGGCATTCATATATTTCTTTTCAGTGCTTAAAATTCAGCAAATTAATTATTTCAATATTCAGAATTCAGAATTCAAATTCAGTGTTATCAAACGGAGCCTTAGTCCATTCACACCCTAAAGATTAGACTAGACAACACACGCATTTCACCCACACGCGCCATCGTCTTAAAATTAGGTACCAATGCAAGAAAAAGAAAATAATACCCCCTTTAGCGGGCTAGAAAATGTAAACAAAAATTATTTGAAATATTATTATTTAGAATAACAATTGTAGCATTTTTATAACGTAATATACATCAAATAAAGATGATTGAAAAAATAAACAAATGATTGATAAGCATATTGTATATTGTAAGTATAAGTAATTTAGGTCAGGAACGGCTATTAACCAGACAAAATGAAATATAAGTAAATAACTCCTAATTAAAGACGTACTTCCACTGTTTTCTTCCAACACCCTAAAATTAGGTAGTCTAATAGTTTATAAAAATTTTAGGGATAATTGCAGAAACCTCCCCTGAGTTTCTGACATTTGCACTGACCTCTCTTATGGTTTGAAAAATTACACTAACCTCCCCTGAGATTACTAATCCTTTACAAATTCAGTCCAATGGATTAAAATATTATTTTAGGAAGTGAAATTAGAATTTTTTTATCAAATTTGTCATTTGTACTATATGTCCAATGAATGACAAAGTACTATAAATCAATTAACAATTAATAAACTTTAAGGAGTATAATTTATGGGCAAACACGCATTACTCATTTAAAGTATATTAACGTAAACAGCAACATCCTTCAGATCTCGCTCGAAGGGACTAACCGCCCAACCCGTGGCACCCAGGGGTGCAACCCCTCATGCTGGTCGAGCGTGGTACAGTGCTTTACGCTGCCATTGTGGTTAAGGAAATAAAGTTGCGCCTTCGCTAATAGTTATAGCTTTTAGTGCAATGGTAAGCACTTGATCCTGACAAAGTACCGGATTTTTACGGATATTTTACTTTCAAATATTTAATTTATGATAAATATATCAACATTTGTAAGTAAAATTCAAAAATTATTATAGTAACATTCTTGCAAAAAGGAAATTGATATGTTATTTATTTAATATAAATTAAATATATTTTTAAAAAAATAAATGGCCCATAAAGTATTAATTTTTTATGGTTTTCATCCATTACACGAGTAAAGTATTCGCTCTTTATGTGCATTTTATTCTGAATCATTTAATTTATATTAAATACATAAATATTTGTAACTAAAATTGAAAAAATGTTATATTAATATTTTTACGGAAGAGAGATTGGTAGGTTTTGTATTTAACAAAAATTAAATATTTAAAAGTAAATACAAATATGTATTTGAGCGTAAATATTTGTATTAAATTAAATATTTGAAAATAAAATACCCTTAATGAACCGGTACTTTAAATAGTTACCGCCTCTTTATAGACAAACACGCATTACTTATTTAAAATACTGGCTTTTTACAAATATTTTACTTTCAAACATTTAATTTATAATAAATATATCAATGTTTTTAAGTAAAATTCAAAAAATGTTACAGTAATATTATTGTAAAAAGGAAATCGGTAGGTTATTTATTTAATATAAATTAAATAATTTTTTTTAAAAAAATGGCCCATAAAATATTAATTCTTTATGACTTTCATCTATTACATGAGTAAAGTATTGGCTCTTTATGGGTATTTTATTTGGAATCATTTAATTTATGTTAAATACATAAATGTTTGTAACTAAAATTAAAAAAATGTTATATTAATATTTTTACGGAAGAGAGTAAATATGTATTTGAGCGTAAATATTTGTATTAAATTAAATATTTGAAAGTAAAATACCCATAAAGAGCCGGTACTTTAAATAGGTAATGCGTATTTGTCTATAAATTATACTCTTTAAAATTTATTAATTGTTAATTAATTTGTAATATTTTGTCATTCATTGAACATGTTGTACAAAGGACAAATTTGGCAAAAAATTCTAATTTCACTTCCTAAAACAATATTTTAATCATTTGGATTAAATTTGTAAAGGATTAGTAACTTCAGGGGAGGTTAGTGTAATTTTTCAAACCACAGGGGAGGTCAGTGCAAATATCAGAAACCTCAGGCGAGGTTTCTGCAATTATCCCAAAATTCTATGATTAAAATGATAGCGGAAACAAAAGTAAGATGCAAACGACATTTTCCTAAGTGGAAGAAAATAGTGCCTACTCTACTCTACCGTACAGTCTACTCTTCCACCACAACAACACTGATTTCGTCTTTCTCAAGCATGTCATAGAACTCTTTAGTCCGCCTCTGGTTGTTCCGGTGGTGCATTTTCCAAAGGCCTCCTGCCATGACCCCAAAAGACATCCCCAATACAATCGCCTTGAAAACACTTGGGCCTTTGTTTGCTACATGTCCAATCCTCTGAGCAGCCATTTTTGGGCCTGACAATTTCCACAAGTTGTTTGCTGGACTTCTTATTTTTATTTCATTTTCATTTTCATTAAACAAACAGGAACAACAGTTGATGTTGAGAACCTTCAATCATAAAATTCCCAATGAGCGCATGGATTTGAAACCAGATCATTCTTATTACTGGTATTTCGCTAAACAAATTTCGGATGAACACAGAAGCGCTAGTGAAGAGCTGTCAACTATTGCGAGAACTCTCCTTCGCCAATATCCGGCGCAAAATACCCCATGGACACGACACGCTGAAGAAGAAGTACATCTCGAGATGAAGATTTTTTTTTTCTTTTCTAAAAAAGCCTAAATGAAGTCGATCTTCTGAAGTGAAGATCGGTTTCAGGATTCTTGGGAAAAAGTAATAGCAGTATCAACTTCTATCTAGGTCGCAATTTAAAAGAAAAATTCTTAAAAAAGATCATTCAGGAAGCAAGTGGAAAGTTAATCTTTAAATCAATCATACCTATAAGTTCTTTAATACAGAACTTGAAATGGAAATTAAGGACAATATGAAAAGTCAGAGTCCAAAACACAAACAAACCTCTGTTCTCTGCTTCGTAATGGAAATCGACTAGGCCCAACCGCGAAGGCGAGACGGTAGCTATAACAAGGAGGAGACGGAGACGGAGACGGGGACGCGTACACTTGAAATAGCAACGCTGCTGGCGTTCCAGTGGAGTGACTCTAGAAGTAGCCACCGAAACAATCCAAGTGCCCGAAGGAGAGTCGCTGTAGATTCGTCGTTGCAACTCAGTGACTCGTCTTTCTACTGCATCGTGTGATAAAATTTATGGACCCCGTCATTTGGACACGTCGGATGTTGAACCCTATTTTGACTTTTTCCGTAGAGATTTCCTGATCTACCGCAACATGTACTAAAAGAAAATCAATTGACTATCCTTTCCAGTCTCTTGAGGTCGACTGAATTAACAATCTTTCCTTATTTGGGGTAATCTACGTTTTGATGTTCATAATGTGTGTTGGTCTGTGATTTACAGCCAAAGGTCGCTGTTTTGCCGCCATGTAATGTTGGCCCTCTGAATAATAATAATCAAGTTTGTTTAAAATTATGTTTTTAATTTAATTCAATAAATAAATAACAAAAATCATCTTACCTCAATATTATGTGTATAATGTAATATATTACTTCTTTTTAGTATGTTAGTATAAGAGTCAGAACTTTCAAATCTTTAAAATTGATCACCACAAATTTTGCAATTATTAAAAAGTTTGATATGGTTGAAATGCGCAAAACACTCTTGACGATACGTGCCTCCAAAGTATTTTTAGAATCGATATAGAAAATCTTGTGCACCGCCATTCAAAATACAGCAGTCGACCCCCAAAAGTTATTATTTCCCTTTGATCTGCACAATCATATTTCCCAATACCTTACTTTGCCTGAAGGAAATAGAGTAATAGGAGAAGAAATGAATATAGAAAAAATGGTGTTTAAAAGAAGTTTTGCATCAAGAGAAGAGTACAAATTTTTTCAAAGAATTTCAAAGTATTGTAAGTTAAGCACGATTCCTTTAGAAATATATGCTACATGTCTAAATACAATATATAATGGTTTTTAAATACAAATTGTAGTAACTTTGTAATTAAAATAAAGTCATAGGATTTGTAACCTACACAAGATAATTCATATTTAAATTATTTGTAAGTAACACAAATAACGACTCATTGTTTCTTCCACGTAACTCATTTGACCAAATGATTCCCACTCAAATTATTTATAATTTCTATTTTTAGTTGTGTAATTACTCTATTCAAAAATAGTATAACTCCCAATATTACAATTTGTAATTTCCATAACCCCCAAATTGAATTACATTATAACTCCTTGAGAGTTTTGGTCAAACAAATTTCATATTTTATTAAAATACTCCAACATGTAGAATTTGTCAATTTTACATTTCATGTTAACTGATACTGGTAGACATATATAATCCTTTTGCTCATTTTTATTGGTTTGACCCAAGATGGATTTACCGTTGGATGTGAAGAATTCGAGATGATACTTCTTGGCTACAACGACAAGTATTCCAGCAGAGACTCATCCCACCCTGGAATTGTTTGGGTCGAATAAACTCCCCTGACCCGAAGTACTCCTGGTACTTTCGATAACGCAAACGTAGCACAAAATACTAGTTCTCGGCAGCACTCCTCTTTTTCTTAGATTGAATATTCACTTATTCACAGAAATAAGGCGAGCTATAGTGCCAGCTGAACGACAGTCTTCAAGCGCTGTAAAGTTCTACATAAGGGCAAATGAAGAGGGCTCTCACACACTGTCCCTTACAATTGATCACTTCGATTCCGATTGCTGCATCAGAACCCTTCAGCCAAAATTAGAGAACCCAATAAATGGAACCATTCTTCATTGAGTGTCTGAAAAAATCTTGTGCAGTGCAAGAACTTAAAGAAACGAAAACACACTTTCAAATCCTAGGAAGGAATTTTCTTTCTTGACCTCCCCCGATTTCACAAATAAAGAACACTGTCTGTGAAGTAAAGCTTGAGAAGATGGTAGAGGCTGGTAGCTCTCTGTGCAAGCTACAGGTTTCACTAGTCTTCTTACCAACGGAATCCCAGGAGCAAGCTCTTCATTTGATCTTGCCTCTTTGCTAATATTTAGTGTAGCTTTGGAATCAATAGCTATTTTGTCACCAATGTCTCTCGAGTTGCCAGAAAACAGAAAGTCTTCCTGCTCTGTAACTCCTTTAGCGGTTGGTATTCTTCTCAGGGCATCTGGATGTGAAATAATCACAGGATCTTGCAGGGCTTCATAAAGACTACGGACTTCAGTTCCCTCATTTCCAGAATTAAAATGATTAGACCTATTCTTGAATTCAGTAGCCTTCAAATTTCCAAGCAGTGGGAAGGTTTTAGCTTTTTTTCGTATATGGTCAAAAATTGATCCTTCATCAAGTGTTTCAGGTTCAAAATCTTCACGTACAGGACGACAGTTACCTTGATTGCACATTATTATAGGTCAAATTATCTACAGCATGCAAAACAGCTACAGAAGAAGCAGAGTATCTCAAACATAGACTAACCTGTGTTGCTCACAAGAAAATTGCCTGGAGATGCATCTTTGTCAACGAATGGTTCCAGGTCACCTGATGCAGCGGTTGGAATAACCAGAATCTCGTGAGAATCTTTACTTGTACCCTTTTCTTCCAGGATCTCAAAGGAATTATCAAGTTCAAGTTGCTTCTCACGAGTTCGCTTTCTGATGAGTGTTAACGTCTCAAGTGAGGGGGAACATGCATTGTTGGAGATTTCCAAAGCAGGAAAAGTCTTAGCCTTCTCTCGTATGTGGTCAAATACTGTTTTTTCAGTGATAATCTTGCATTCATCATCCTCGGTGTCGACACGAGATGCACCTTGAGTAAACAGGGTAAGAGAAGATCTTTGGAAGTCCGTTAAATGACTGTAACGGAACCTTTGACATTCACATCTTACCTTCGTCTGAGTCTTCATCTAGAAGTCTGAAAGTGGGCCTAGGTAATCCAACAGTTATTTGTCAGAAAGACATGAAAGACAAAATAACAGTAAATTGCATGACTCTGTTTTGGAGGAGAATTACAAACCAACCATTATCCATGAATCTATGATGATACGAATAAATTGCCGCTACTTAATGAATTTAAAGCTAGAGCTCACATATTATCTGCCGGTTCTTTGGATTCATTGGAATTAGGCACTCCAGCTAGTGCTTGAGATGGACAATCATTGCCATCTTTTATGATGCACACATCTTTATGCTGAGGGGTGTAAGCATACTTGGATGCATGCTTGTGAGCAGCATTGAAGTCATTCTCCTTTCTTATTATGATGCTTTGATGAATATCAATACCAACTGCAAATGGATATCATCAAGAGAAGAATGAGATGAAACTTAATAATTTTGGTAAAATTAAGGCCTTCAGTGTCACTGATTTTAAGAGCATCTTACGGAATTCTTCAAACATGAGATCGGCATTTACAGTCAGTTTTCCTTGATGCTGGCTTGGTAGTAGAATTATCGCACTATATGGGCTATTAAACACCAAAAAAAAAAAAAATCAGCTCTAAAATGTCACAGCAACACTAATACCTGCTAGATAATTATAAGCAAAATTGCTTGTAATTAACATCCTGCTATAGGAATGGCACGTCAGTAGTGCTTCACACTTTTTCCATGGCAAAAAGGAAAACTACACACTATAGGTTTTGAGTTCTCATACCTCAAAAATTCATCCACTCTGCAGCAAGAAGTAAGAGTTTTAGTGCATCAAGTTATCGAGTTTCTAATAAAAAATGTTACATCTAGTAGAAGGAACAGAGTGAAGTTGATAAGGGACAACATTTTCCAAACCACTGCTAGTCAATAACCTAAGCAGTTAAAGAAAAAAGAAATTGAGTAGAGAAATCTGATCACAGTTATCAAGACATCTAAACCATATCTCAAAAGTATGTTAGAGAGTAAAGTGATTCACAGCTTTGGACACTAATGTAGCTACCAGCTGTAATACATGTTTCCAAATGCCCTTCAAGAAATTTGATTACAGCACCATACGAATAAGAATTACCTTATCTTTTCATGGAACAGGATAACGTTGTCATCTTCAATGCTAACTATCTGTTAAGATATTTCCAATCTTCCATTACTAGGGAGCATAGGATGGAAAATCTTATATTCAGCAAGAAAGCGAAATAGAAGAATCCTATTCATGAAAATGTACCATGTCAGCATAATATCGTTTAGTTAGTTGTGCAGATTCTGATAGCCTCGTTAGTGTTACCACTAGCTGGGACTTCCCTTGCTTTTGGCACGTGGTCTCCTCAAATTTCATCTCAACCTTTGGTGGCAGAGATAGCAACGACTCCTTAATGTGGTTACCAAAAGGGAATTTTCTACCGGTGACCATCTCTATCTTCCTTGGATCGGCACCAGAAAAGGTTTCAAAAGAATTTACGCCCATTGAGTGAAGTGCCTGCAGTGAATACTAAGTTTAGAATAAAGAGAAAACTAAACTGCCCTATAGAGTTCAGACTTTAGACAGCATGTAAGATGTTAGCAAAGGAGACTGGCAACAAACCTTAGCAGTCACCAACCCAATGCCTGGTAATTGTTTCAGCAAGTATGGACTATCATCCCAGAGTTTCTGATGTAAAGATTTTGCCAGAAGTGATGAATTTAGTGCACCCTTATAATTCTTTTTATGGATAAAGTAGTCTTTCATGCACTTTGCAATTCTACACCCATTTGCGCATATAGAGTTCATGTCCTATAGCAATAAACATGGTATTATCACTCAAAATGTTTTGAGCAATTGGAAGTAGCCTATATCTGCTGAATCACGAAATTAATCCAACCTGGCTCATTGATAAATCATGTACTAAAGGATCCCCAGTCAGGCAGTCATTTGCCAGAATGAATATCTTTTCTTCTCTGGTTTGAACCCGCTTCTTCACTTTTCCTTTATCATCATGGATATGAAAGCGGAGCCGACCATCTTTGTCAATGTTTATGTCATTTAATAGTCTCTTCTCATTGCGCCTGAGTTGTATCCCTTCATTTTCCAGACAAATGAAATGCATCACGTAATTTAAATTACTCATGTGAATAGTAATCATGATGGACACATACAGGCAAATTCTTCTGCACGGCAAATTATGTGAAGTGCATCTTCTATACTGCAGTTTGCAGGTGCCAGCATAATATGCTTCATTGTATCAAATTTCAGATAATATTTTGTCATCAACTTTCCAGGCTCTGAGCACAAGAAGGCAAGAGTCAAAAATCTTTTTTGAAAGAAAATGAAAGTTAGTTCATTGCAAACAAACTCATATTACCTAGTGGCTTTAATAGGAAACCGTCTTCGTCAGTCCAGATCATTT